CACTAAATCCCCAAAAGGCAAGTTACTAAATTCTATACATCTGGAGCCCCCAAAATTTGGATATGAGGAAAAAGTGCTTTGGCTAAATAAAAATTAAGTGTTTTTTTTTTTTTTGTTTTTTGGTAACATCGAGATAGTTCTTTAGGTTACATGTCAAATGTTATCTTTTATAGATTGCACTGTACTTTTAAGTTTATTATCAGATCAAGTTAACCCAGTTAACATGAAGTTTCAAAGAAATAAGAATACATTCTTTGATTTTTGTGTGATATTTTTTGCTGGATTTAATAATGGACTTCAGAGTAATGAGAGTTGCTACTAGTTTTGAAAAGAACAGATAACTTGGTACTTATATGAAACCTTCTCTTAGTTCTTAAATTCAGCCTTACGTTTCAGAAGCGCCTTTTGAAAAAACAAGAAGATATTCTGACATGTTTTACTTTCCTGTGGTTGATCAGAATATTTCAGTTTGAAACAGAAATATCTGAGTAGCAGGAGGCATTTTTCTATTTTATGGATTTGAAACACTTATGTAATATCATTGAGGTATCTACAAGAAAACATGAAAATTAGTAAAAATTAGCCACATGGAGGCGTTGGTAGGAGGAATGGGGAATTAACACTAATGGATTTCTTTTTGGGATGATGAAATGTTCTAAAATTAGATCGCAGCGATGGTTGCATAGGCCTGTAAATACACTAAAAATTATTGAGTTGTATTTTAAAGAGGTGGTATGTAAATTATATCTCAATAAAACTGTTAAAAAATTAGCCATGGGATAAAACCCAATGCTAGGGAGATAGTAAGAGTCTGTACATGCTACATTGCTCATGGCTGTGTAAAATGATACGACACTCCTGTAAGGCAGGTTGGCTACTAAGGACCATGAAAGTGTTCTTGGGTGCCGAAATGTGACTTATGGGAATGTATATTAGGAAATGTTCTAAAATATAGAAGCATCATATCAAGTCACCACATATTTATATATTTATTCCCTCTTTCTGTCCTCCCTTTCTTCCTTTTGTGTATACATATGTGTATTTCTAATATAGAAAAATTAGGAATGACCTAAATGAGAAATGGTGGCGAATGACTGAGTTTTGATGCATGGATTCAGTGTGTTATTATGAAGTTATTAAGTTTTGGGGCCAGCCGAGTGGCTCAGTTGGTTAAGAGTTAGTTAAAGAGCGCAAGCTCTGAGCAACAGGGCTGCCGGTTCGATTCCCACTTGGGCCAGTGAGGCTGCGCCTGAGCTGAGCTGCTGCTGAGCTGCCAACAGGTGGCAGCATGACTCAGCTGGTAAGAGCATGTGCTCCTAACAATAAGACTGCCTGTTCGATGATGGGCTATGCCCGCCCGCAACTAAGATTGTAACACAGCACCTTGAACTTAGAGGCCATGAGATGCTGATGGGCAGCCAGATAGTGACTGGCGCCCTCCACAACTAAGACTGAAGAACAACAACTTGGCTGGTCCCCCTCCCCAATTCCCCAACACTGTTCCCCTTCCCCAATTCCCCAATTAAAAAAAAAAAAAGATTAAGTTTTGTTTGCTGGAGTGAACACCTTTGAACATAATCTTTGTGCACATTCCATTATTTCTTTGGGATAGAATGTAGGAGTGGAGTTACTGAATCAGAAGGTTATAAAGTATTTTTTCCTCAACCTGAAAGCTCTCTACTCCCAAGTGCTATATAAATAAATTGTAAAATATACCGAACTTAGGAAGACAAAAATAAAAGTCACTCCCAGATGTGCATATGTCAAAAGAAAGCCCATTTTCTAAGCCTGTCTCTAGTATTTCTCTAATGAGTGCCTTTCTAGCAGTGAGCAGATCAATCTTTTAATTTGAAAACTTCCCTACACTTGATCTGAGTTTAAAAAAGGAAATTAAAAAATCTTCGGTACTTATGATGCCTTCTTGTGGAATTATTAAGTTGGGTAACTATGTCAGTAGTCTTCAAGAAAGGAATTAAAGAAAACCTGGCACTATTTTAAACAAATGTAGTTTTTAAAGTACAGGAAGGCTGCTGTAGGTTTTTTTTTTTTTGGGGTATGTGTATGAATGTGCTATCACAAGGTGGGGGACTCCTATACCACTTTGCGTTATATGTTACTCACTCCGCTTTTGTATACACTGTTAAATAAAAAATGGAGGCATTGTAGTCCCAACTTTGCCTTTTACTAAAAATAAACACAGCTTCATCAAGTTGCAATAAAAGTAACAGAATGGTTTTTCAAAGAAATTGATTATAACAGGTAACATCTCTGAATATAATGTATAATAAAAGTGCTTATTAGCTGCGCTTCTCCAAGTTCAATTTGCATTCACGTTATGAAGGGATCATGATACAAATGATTCTGTAAGTCTGGAATTGGACCCGAGAGTCTGAATTCCTGACAGTCTCCCAGGTGATAGCAAGTCACAGCGATCTAGTGTTATGCTGCTGCCAGGCATCAACCGGCTTATTCTAGTCCAGGCAGCGTTCTAAGTGCTTCACAGGTTGAGTAACTTACCTGAGATATGCTTAGGAAACGGTAGAGGAGGGATGCTAATTAGGCTTTGCTTCCAGAAGCTTGTGGTGTTAGCTGCACTAAACTGCTTCTTTCTGTGTCTGGGCTGTGAGTAGATTTACCTTCCTCCTAATTCAGAAAAAAACTTCCCTGTTGGGGTGTGCCTTGGTTTGGTCAAAGTTAGTGTATAACCTTGATTCTTCATAGATTATGGAAAACGTGGTGGGTAACTTCTGGGTCAGATATTTGCTTTTTCAGTTTCATTTTTTGGTTGATGCTTTGGTTTATAAGAAAAGCCCCCCGCAAAGCCTCCCTGTAATAATCAGAGAGTTTATATGTGGCAGGGTAACATTATTTGAAATTAGTATAAGAGTAATTACTGTTTTTTAAAACTTTTTATTTGTTTGTTGTTTGTTTATTTGTCTGTTAAGAAAATATTTCAAAAGCACATTTTATACATTTTCAAAAACTCAAAGGTACTTGCATTTGATGCAGTAAAGTTTGGTGTTACCTCAAGGTGTGTGCAATGTTTCTTAATGAGAAAGAAGTGATAAAGAAATAGGAAATCTAGTTTTATGAACTAGTTGAATATTTGACTAATATCTTCCATTATTCAGATTACTACCTACCATTCCAGAATTTAAATTAAAAAAATTTTCCATATTATACTTTGTAGAGGGAAATAACTGAAATGTGCAATATTAATGGCTGTATTGGGCTTTTTTATTACAGAAGGGGTGTGAGGTGATGTTCTTGAAGTTAAAAAATGTTTGTAGTTTCTTTGGTTTAAATCTAAGCTACTTTTTTAAAGGAACATATGAGTCTGGGTTTT